GCAACGACAACCCAGCCCGCCTCGCAGTGGGCGGGGCCCTGCTGCGCACGGGGGAGCGCAGGGGGAGGCGGCGGGGGCCGGGGAGGCTCGAGGGCCCGAGGCCCGGCGAGCAGCACCGTGGGCAGCAGGCCCCGGAAAGTCTTCGCAGGAAAGGGTAAGGAAGGCTTTGGCTTAGGTCGGGCCTGTCCCCCTACAGAGGGATTGTCGACGAAAAATAAAAAAAATACCCCAAACATAGTCCAAAAGTAATCAAAAAATAGTCTGGGGACTATTTTTTGCATATTTTTCGCCTTTTTGGGGTATGTTTAATTTTTCGTCGAAAATCCAATCAAAAACCCTAAGAAGGACGCGCGACTTGCTCAGGGTACCCTTGCGTCCTTGCTCTTCCTTGCACTTGCGTCCTTGAGGTTTTCGTCGTCCGAAGCCCCAAAAATTACTTCCAACTTTGGTTTCCAAGGGTCTTGCGTCCTTACCGCGCGTCCTTATTAGGGTTTTTGACTGTACAATGCGGGCGCGGCCGCAAGGAACCCTCGCAAGAAACCCAACCCTGAGAACACGTGCGCGAGGTGCACCCGAGGGGAGACCCAGAGCACCCTGAGCGCAGCAGCTCCTTCAACGGCTGCTTGGAGTCACCGCGCAGCGCGAGGAGCGAAGAAACCCAGGACACCCCGACGGAAAGCATGTGGCTTCTTGATGCGCGCCCCCATTGCATACGAAATCCTACATGGCGGATAGCCTTGTGGATGCCACGACAATGGACATCCTGACAGTCCTATCATCTAATTAAAGAAGTGCTTAACATGTGGGAAAATGTCATGACTAATGTTTAAAACATGTTTATTACATGTGTTGACCAGCTTTCACACAGGTTCTAGACATCTGGAAATGATTTGGCAACACGCTTCCTCTCCACTGATCGCCCTCCACGAGGATAGCCTTAAGTCAGGCCTGTCCCCCCTACAGGGGGATGTTCGACGAAAAATGCTAAGTGAAGAAAAAGTGCCCCAAAAAAGTCAAACGAATACTACAAAGAATAATCCCCAGACTAGTGCTGTACTTGTTTTGACTATTCTGGGGTACTTTCAATTCTTCGTCGAAAATCCCCCCTGCAGGGGGACAGGCCCGACTTCAGGACAGCCCCATCAGCGTGCTGCCAGGAGGCATCTCTGGCTGCGGGGCGTCGGGCCCCTGCCGGGCCTCCGCCGCGCCTGGGCGCCGAGGGCGCGCCCCCGGGGGGCACGCACGGAGGCACCCGAGGAGCGTCGAGCCCACGTCGGCACCAGGGCGGGCCGCCGCCCGACGGGGCCCCCCGTCGCCCTCGCCCCTCGCCCCCCGCCGCCCCTCGCTCCCCCCGTCGCCCCTCGCCCCCCGTCGCCCCTCGCTCCCCCCGTCGCCCCTCGCCCCCCGCCGCCCCTCGCCCCTCGCCGCCCTCGCCCCCCCCCCCCCTCGCCCCCCCGCGCCCCCCCTCGCCCCCGCAGCCGCCCTCGCCGTCGGGCGGCGCAGATCATGGCCCGAAGCGTGTGTAGGGGCCTCCTGGATCGGGTCGGAGTAGATGGGGTCGCAGGGTCGCACCGCATCGCCGATGCGTCGGCAGTGCATCGGCGATGCATCGGTGATGCACTGGCGATACATCGTCGACGTGGGCGATGCATCGGCGACGTCGACGTGAATCAGATCCAGCCCCACATCGAGCCACACCGGCGATGCATCGGCGATGCGGCGCGATCCTCCGACCCCATCTACTCCGACCCCATCTAGGAGGCCTACAGGGAGTTTGAAAAAAGCAAGGGTTTTTAAAAACAAGGAATGTAAAAGTCTAGGTTATCACGTAGAGATCGCAGCCCCGAAGCGGGGTAGATAACAAAACTAGGAATCTGGGGGAAGATCACCGTGGCCATTTTTAAATCTAGGTTTTCGAGTATCATTGGCGCGATGACAACACGGCATGAAACAAAACAAGGAATTTGAAAAATATGGTTTTAGAGTAGATCCGCGAGGCTGAGCCCCGGCATGCCGACCTAGTTGTTTTGAACTCCCTGTAGAATGTGTGCGGACGAAGGGGAAATCACAAAACGCATGGAGAGAGGGGACCATGAGATCCAGGGAGATATCATGGCCCCGGCCATGGTATCCAACCTCCCTAGTCACCACCCCCCTCTTGGCCGGCCCCTCAAAACACATACGCAGCCGCGGCCGCGCGGACCAGGCCAGCGGGCTTGCATGAAGGCTTCCTGCCACGGGTTATGGCCTTGACAGCCTTCCTCCCGCCGCTGGCGGGCAAACAAATAGGAAGTCTCAGGTCGCTCAGAGCTCCCCATCCCCCGCTGCACGGGCCCTTCCAGAGCTCTCAGGCGCACGCTAACATGGATTACGGATCCGTAGGTCTGGCGCGGAGTCGCCAGATCCATGCATAGGGGAGGGCCCCCCAGCAACATGAGACCGCCGCCGCCCGATTTGACCACTCAGTGCGTCGACCCTGCACGGAAACAGGACCCGTCGCTAATCCACGCGCATTCATCTTCTGCAGCAACTCATGGGAGCCTCCAATACCATCTTGTAAGAACTCGCGAAACGACGCTAAGCCGACGCGAATCAACGCTACATCGACGCTACATCGGCGCTCTCCTCGATTGTGGCGCTGATCAACGCGAGTGCATTCTAAAGACGGACTTGCTACCGAAGCTTCATTAAAGTTTGCGCTTCCTAGATGTTGAGAGGTCCGGCAAGCGAGGCAAATCTGTGCTACCCTGATGGGCCCTCAGCAGGCAGGGGACTGCCTGGCCGATGCTGCACCGTGTGGCGCGCTCTCCACTCTCCCGCACCTTGAAGGGGGCGACATTCGAACCTTTCCCCCCCGACCATCGATTCTCCTGAATCGATGGGAGCTGGGGGTCGGGTTCGGATTTCGCCACGGGTTCGACGAATTCCAAGCCCTACCCCCGCCGCTCATCGAGATGCCCACAAATCGTTGATCGGCGAGGGTAGGGTTCGGATTGCGCCGCCGTGAAGCGGCACTCTCCTGCCGCCTTCCTGCACGCTGCCGAGGTTCCCGTTCCTGGGTTACCCTCAAGAGGCAAATCCTGGGAGGCCACCGAGCGAACGATTCGGCGGCTATTGAACCCGATGATGGGGCCATTGAGCTGGATTAGCCCACAGTCGGCCCAAATTGAAAAAGACTGAGCAACATAAAACGAGAATAAACCCGATAAAACGGGAGTACGCCCGATCAGGCCGCTCGCAAGCACGGAGTTACCAGAGCCGATACTGAATGAAACCTCACAGGAGTTGCATCCTACAGGGGAACAAACAAATGAAACACATAAATTCTCTGAGGCCCACGCGGATTCCTTGGATGAGCGCTGGAACCCCTCTCCTCGCATGCGGAGCGCGAAAGGCGCAGAGCTGGAGGCGCCGCCAGGGGGACCCAACGCCGACGCGAGGAATCCGCGCAGGAATCCGCGCGACTGTGACTCTGCGCTTGTTTGCTCTCTGGTCTCCTCCTCCTCCTCCCTCCTCCTCCTCCTCCTCCCTCCTCCTCCTCCTCCTCCTCCTCCTCCTCCTCCTCCTCCTCCTCCTCCTCCTCCTCCTCCTCCGCCTCCTCCGCCTCCTCCTCCTCCTCCTCCTCCTCCTCCTCCTCCTCCTCCCGAGGGGGTGGACACGCGGGCCGCGTGCGTCCCTCCCAAGTTGGGCGCCCCGAGTGGGTGCGGAGAAAATGGGCCCGCAGCCCAACAGCACACGCTGCCCAAGAATCGGCAGAGGGCCGCTGTGAGGCAGGCGGCCCCGACAGAGCACGACCGCGAGGAGAGGCAAGGGGGACCCCCCCACGAGGCGCGCCCTCTGAGCCAGCTCCGCGAGCGCGCCCCGAAGTGCCGTATTCCTCGGCATAAGGCCTTTTCACAGTGGACAAGAACTGCGGTCGGTCTGCGTCCCCATCGGTGGGCTTGTTTTCCACCGCCACCACCACCACCACCACCAAGTAAGGAGGGGGAGGGGGTCCTCCTCCCCCTCTTCTTCCTCCTCCTCCTCCTCCTCCTCCTCCTCCTCCTCCTCCTCCTCCTCCTCCTCCCTCTCCTCCTCCTCCTCCTCCTCCTCCTCCTCCTCCTCCTCCTCCTCCCTCCTCCTCCTCCTCATCATCATCATCATCATCATCATCATCATCATCATCATCATCATCATCATCATCATCATCATCATCATCATCACCATCATCATCATCATCATCATCATCATCATCATCATCATCATCATCATCATCATCATCATCATCATCATCATCATCATCATCATCATCATCATCATCATCCACCTCCTTCCCCCCTTGGTCAACCAATAGGTAACGATACCGCTGCTACCCAGCTGGACCTCTCCGTTGGTGCGCTTTGACGAGCATCTTGAGGCGGATTCAACCGTGGCGACGAGGGCCTCCCGGGAGGCCCAGCAAGGCGAAAACGAAGGAAGGGCAGAGGTAAGGGTACGGCAGGACCTAGGATTGAAGAAGATCCTTCAAGAGCACGCATGAGGCCCTCCGCCGGCCAAACTGAAGAACATTCGAGGGTGCCCTCCACCGGGATGAAGAAGAACATCCGACGAACACGAAAGACATGAGGGTACCCTCCCCGAAGCGACCTCGATCTTATACCCCAGTTCGACAGTACTCCGAGTTTCTGAATAATGGTCGGGAGGGAGTCACCCCCGTCGACAGCCCCACATCGACCACCGTCGCGGGCAGCCAGCGCGCGCCAGAGGCGCTCCGACCCCCGTCGCGGCGCGACCACGAGGCGAGGTTGACCCCCGTCGGGGAGGGGACCCCCCCACGCTTATTAAGAAACCCGAAGTGCCTTCTCCTCCTCTGACCCGTTCCGATCGTACTGACACGAGCGCGCTGCCCACCAGTCCGAGCCCGCATCTTCCACGGTGGCCTCCGCACTCCGAAACCCGGCCACGCGCAGAGGAAGAAAAGCAACTGTGCGTCAAGCGGACGACCCGCACCCGGCCCCCGCCTCTTCCACCTTGGACACCATGAGCATCTGCAGCTCGGCCATCATCTTCTCGATGGCCTGCCCCCTCCCCAGGGGCAGCGTTAGCGGTGCACTGGCGCGCGGGGGGAAGAAACACCAATGACAACAAAACCAACAGCACCAACAACAACACCACCACCACCACCACCACCACCAACAACAACAACAACAACAACAACAACAACAATCATTTTACCCGAACGCTCAGTGTTCTCACCAGTGCCAGGGTTTTCATGCGACGCGAGACAATACCCCCACTTCGTGGGGGGGCAGTTCAAGCTCTACCAAATATCCAAACGACTCTTCGCGACCACCCAAACCCAGCTTCCCGCCCTATGACGTTGGGACACTTCACTTCGTGGCGTGCGGACGACCGTGGCTACTACACTGGCGTGGGGTACACACCCACAGAACTTGGTCACTTATTCGGGGCGCGCGTGTGCCCAGCATCCTGCAATTGTGACATACAATACATGACACAGACAGACAGAGAGAGAGACAGAGAGCAGACAGAGAGAGAGACAGAGAGAGCGGAGTTGGTCACATTTTTGGGGCAAGTTCCTGAGATCGTCGTGTTTTTTGTTGGTCTTGCGCGCGCGAATGTCCACTTTACTTTTTTTTTGCAAGGGATGTTGAAATTTGATTATGTAAGAACAAGAAAAAGTAGCTCGCGCGAGCTTATGTAACATAAATGTTGAAAAACCATTGGTTTTGTGGGAGTCGGACAGCGCGCGCGGGATGAAATTTGGACATTTTTTTTTGAAAAACCATTGGCTTTTTGATGTTTTTATGTTGAAATCGTTACGAAACCTAAGGTTCTGGAAGGATTTCGTCTTGCGCGCGCGAATGTCCACTTTACCTTATTTTTTGCAAGGGATTATTGAAATTTGATTATGTTAGAACAAGAAAAAGTAGCTCGCGCGAGCTCATGTAACATAAATGTTGAAAAACCATTGGTTTTGTGGGATTCGGACAGCGCGCGCGGAAGGACATTTTGACAATTTTTTCTTAAAAAACCATTGGGTTTTTGATGTTTTTATGTTAAAATCGTTACGAAACCTAAGGTTTTGGAAGGATTTCGTCTTGCGCGCACGAATGTCCACTTTACCTTATTTTTTGCAAGGGATTCTTGCAATTTGATCAACTAAGAACAAGAATTTTCATTTTCTATTGTTTTTTGCAAGGGAAAACGAGCGTCAACAAAAAACCGGATCCGGTACCAATCGTTTTGCCTGAGACTTCCTCACGAAAATGATGAAAATGTGGCTGCGGCCTAGGCGCGGCGGGGGGGTCGCGCACCAGGGGTCCCAACAATAATTATTCTTAAGAAGAAATAATGTTCAACAACAAGGCGAGGACGGGCTTCTGGTACCCTGGGGGGCAAGGCACCAGATCCCCGGCCTCCCCTGCTGGCGAGGACGGGTTACTGGCACCCTGGCCCCCAATTGCGACAGGGGGGTAGCAACCGCAACCGCGCAACCAGCACCACCACGAGCTAATGGAAACCAATTCATCAAAATGTCCGATTCGAGTTTTTAATTCAATTCTCAGCAGAGCATGGATGTGCGCGCCGGCGAAGCGAACTCCTGACGCAAACCCATCCGAATCCTACTAGACCTGTGTCCGGCTCTCATAGAACCCTACTAGACCTGCGCCCAGCTCTAATAAAATGCTACTCGGTGTGCGTCCAGTTCCAATAGAAGACTGCTCGGCCTGCGCCCAGCTCTAACATAATCCTTTTAGAGCTGCGCCCGGCTCGAACAGAAGCATACGAGAACTGCGTCCAGCTTCCACGCAATTCCGCTAGAGATGTGTCCAGCCTCAACAGAATCCTACTAGACCTGCGTCCAGCTCGCGTAGAATCATACTAGAGACGCGCCCATCTCTTATAGAAATCTACTAGAGCTGCGTCCAGCTCTAATCAAATCCTACGAGAGCTGCGCCCAACTCTAATAGAATCCTTCTAGGGTTGCGCGTCCAGTTCTAATAAAAACCTACAAAGGCTGCGTCCAGCTCTTATAGGATCCTACTAGAGCTGCGTCCAGCTCTAATCAAATCCTACGAGAGCTGCGACCAGCTCTACTAGAATCCTCCTCGGGCTGCGTACAGCTCTAATGAAGTCCTACTAGAGCCGCGTCCAGCTCTAATTAAAACTTACGAGAGCTGCGTCCAGCTCTAATAAAATCCTACTAGAGCTGCGCCCACGTTTCCTGGGGATTCTCTGGGGGCGCCTTGTGAACTCTGCTTGCGAGCACGCTCCCTGTGGCGCCCTGGGGCCCCACTTCAGGCGCCCTGGGAGCGCGCTGGGCAGCGCCTTGGGGGCGCTGTGCGGAGCGCATTGGGGCAGCCTTGCGATCGCTCTCCGCGTGCCCTGGGCGCGCTTCCTAGAGCGCACCAGGAGTTCACTGTGTCCCCCGCAGACCCTTTTATGGGCGCCGTGGAGGCACTCCCTAGCGCGCGCCTTGCGGGCGCCCTGGGCACCCCCTCAGCCGCCGGATGCGTTTTCTGAAGCTGCGACGGTTCGCTGGCGCTGTCAGAATTCCCCTCCTTGCTGGACGACGTCAGCTACGCTATCGGTCTGCTCATACCCGACAGACACCCTGGGCTGACATTTCTTGCACGGAGTCTGGTTCCCACCACCATGCAATTGTCGATTGTCACGACCCATGACTGGGAATGTACGGCGCGCCATTTTGGCCGCGTCCGCTTTGCTTCCTGGGTGACTGACCCTTCAGACTCCCTGGGTTGCAGCTTGCACGACCGCCTGGCCTCTCAGACGCCCTGGGTTGCTGCTTGCACCGCCGCCTGATCCGCGGCCCCCGCGCGCGCCCGGGTAATTCGTCACGGCCGCAGCCTGACCGTGACCCCTCGCCGCCGGCGCTTCCGCCTGCGGCTGTAAACAAATTATTCACTGCGTGGAGCTCCCCATATGTGCATCTACTCGCATGGACCTGTCCGCCGTGAATGTCTAGGCGCAAGAGTTTTCGAATATTAACGGGCTTCAGTTGTGACGGTCTGGACATCAATCTAACTGCGAATGAATTGGAGTGTGAATGAGCCTCAGTAGTACGAGCGCGTCTCTGTGCATGAGCCTGGGGCCTCCTGGGGCCTCCTGAAACCTACTGGGGCTTCCTGGGGTCTCCAGGAGCCTCTTGGGACCTCCTGGGACCTCCTAGGAAGGTTTCGTGCCCCAGGAGAGGCGCAATCTATAGCAACAGACGTACATAAAACATTGCGGATTAGAGCCACAGGAGAAGGGCAATCTATAGGAACACGCGTAAAACACCAAGGACTCGTGCCCCAGGAGAGGCCCAATACATAGGAACATGAGTAAAACATTTAGGATTGTGTACACAGGAGAAGGACCATCTATAGAAACATACGTAGAACATCAAAGAATCGTGCTCCAGGTGAGGCCCAATCGATAGGAGCATACGTAAAACACATGGGATTGGAGCCACTCCTGTTGCCTTCTGAGGCCTCCTGCTCCTGGGGCCTCTCGGGGCCTCCTGTTGCCTTCCGAGGCCTCCTGGCGCTTCCTGTTGCCTCCTGGGGCCTCCTGTGGTTTCCTGAGGCCTTCTGGAGCTTCCTGGGGCCTCCTGGAGCCTCTTGGGACATCCTGTGGCCTCTTGAGTCTTTCTGTGGCCTCCTGATGCCTCCTGGGACCTCATGTGGTCTCCTGGGGCCTCCTGGAGCCTGTTGGAGCCTCCTGTGGCATCCTGAGAAGAATCTGCGCCCACGAGCCTGGCCACCAAAACAAGCAAACCGATCGAGACATCCTCAAAATCTGGCCCACCTGGGGGTGAAAATGAGCGCCTCGCTCGAGACATCCTCCAAATCTGCTCCGAAAGCGAAGGATGTTGGGCACAGAAACAAGCAAACCGCCTGAGACATCCCCACAAAATGGCCGCGAACGAGCCCGTGCAACCACCCCTGGCGGCTCCCCTTAGGGGTGCTGAAATGAGCGCCTCGCTCGAGACATCCTCCAAATCTGCTCCGAAAGCGAAGGATGTTGGGCCAGAAACAGGCAAACCGCCTGAGACATCCCCACAAAATGGCCGCGAACGAGCCCGTGCAACCACCCCTGGCGGCTCCCCTCAGGGGTGCTGAAATGAGCGCCTCGCTCGAGACATCCTCCAAATCTGCTCCGAAAGCGAAGGATGTTGGCCCAGAAACAGGCAAACCGCCTGAGACATCCCCACAAAATGGCCGCGAACGAGCCCGTGCAACCACCCCTGGCGGCTCCCCTTAGGGGTGCTGAAACCAGCGCCCCGCCTGAGACATCCTCACAATCTGCTCTCCAAGCGAAGGATGTTGGGCCAGAAACAGGCAAACCGCCTGAGACATCCCCACAAAATGGCCGCGAACGAGCCCGTGCAACCACCCCTGGCGGCTCCCCTTAGGGGTGCTGAAATGAGCGCCTCGCTCGAGACATCCTCCAAATCTGCTCCGAAAGCGAAGGATGTTGGGCACAGAAACAGGCAAACCGCCTGAGACATCCCCACAAAATGGCCGCGAACGAGCCCGTGCAACCACCCCTGGCGGCTCCCCTTAGGGGTGCTGAGTATGAGTAAGTCTGTGTATGAGTAAGTCTGAGTGTATCTGTGTATGAGTAAGTCTGGGTATGAGTAGGTATGTGTATGAGAAAGTCTGTGTATGTGTACGTCTGGGTATGAGTAAGTCTGAGTATGACTAATACTGTGTATGAGTAAGTCTGAGTATGAGTGAGTCTGTGTATGAGTACGTCCGGGTGTGAGTAGTATGAGTAAGTCTGTGTATGAGCAAGTGGGAGTATGAGTAAGTCCGACAGGAGGGGAGGAGAAAAGAGGAGGAGGGAGAAGGAGGAGTAGGAGGCGTCCAAGTAATAACAAGAACCCCATCTTAGGATATGGGGAACAAGAACCCCATCTTAGGATATGGGGAAAAAGAGGAGGAGGGAGGAGAAGGAGGAGTAGGAGGCGTCCAAGTAATAACAAGAACCCCATCTTAGGATATGGGGAAATAATAAAAACATAAAAAAAGTAACCCCACCAGCTTAC